TTTCTATTGATTTGAAGATCTCAGATTAAACAGACCATCTCTCTTCTGTGTTCTTAAAATATTTTTATCTTTAAAAAATGAAGGAAAATAATCCATAAACTGCCATTCTGTATGGGTCAGAATATTCGCAAAAGACAAAGCATTTACATTATTTGACAAAAGATGATATATATATATATATAGGCCTCCCCTGGTGGCGCAGGTGGTTGACTGCAGCGCTGTGAAGCTGTCCGCAGCCTGTGCAGCGCTGGTTCGATCCCGGCTCAGCTGGCGAGGGTCTCACATGGCACAGCAGACCTCTCCTGTCGCACCCGCTGCTCCCTCAGCAGTGTATTTCATTTGTCTGCCTGTTCTGTTCCCCACTCTGTGTCTTGTGAATCCTCTCACCCTCCTACACATCTGGCCTGTACCCTGGTTCTTGTATAAATAAATCTTAAAAAAAAGATGATATATATATATCAATAGAATGTTAATTTTTTGCTTTCCATGAATAATTATTGAGTAGTAAATATTTTAGGCAAATCTAATATGAAGCAAAGGATAGCTCCCTGTTTAAAGCCTATCTCCTGACTGGCACCCTGATGGGGAATTGAGGAATTCATTCTGATGCTCCTGTTGGTACTTTTTATAACCTCAGTTCTAAGTACTCCTTAGTGTTCTGTAACACCAAGTGTATACTAATTTTTCCCCTCAAGGAATATTAGAATACTTGGGAAAGATGATGATCTATAAATTAAAAAAAAAATAAAAAGGCTTAAGAGGTTACTGGTAAGCAAAAACACATGTTCTCCCAGTTTTGAATTCCACTAAATATTATAATCAGTGTCTGTAGATGTACAAGAAGAGATTCTCTTTGTTTACTCGCAATAAGATTTAGATGTGTCTCATTTTAGTCATGAAACCAGTGTCATAAGGTACATAGCCCAGATATAGATGACAAGAAAAGGACATATTCTCCTATGGGATGTTGAAGCCCTACAGACTGGCATTTCCCTACCTGTCCTGCCATGATTATGGCCGACACATTTACCAGGCAGATAGAGTTATTTCCTTTCCCAGACAAATGGGTTTCCTGATAGCACTTTGCCAGGAAGTCAATTGACCTCATCAGCCATAGTTTTCTTTCTTTCCTGAGAAAGATAAGTAAGTGCACCTGTTGTGTAGAAATGAGATAAAGGAAGATGTCATCAGTGAAGCCAGTGGATCAATTGGCTATGTGGCGACGTGTGGAACCTGATAATTCTCTTTAGGTGCAGATGGCCACCACAGGTGCTATCTCAGGTGAAGTGTGCAGAATGGAATGAGGAATGTAAATGAATACAGGCACATAAGGGCACAATAGAGAAATTGCAGCACTAAGAAGAAATTGAAAAGGAATGGCCAGAGGCAAGAAAGGTTAATCAAAGGAGAAAAGTGTCATGGAAACAGAAGAAAGAGAGAAATTCAGGAGCAAGTGATTAGCAGTTATTTGTTCCAGGGATCTAACAGAAGATAGCTTAGAGTCATGGCCTTGGGAATAGGGCAGGCTATGTTTTTGATACAACATGGCATGATAACCAGTATTGTTGGTAAGAGGGCTTTTGTGTGATGAGACAGTATAAATAGATTGGGCAAATTAGCGAATGGTCCTTGAAAAAAATAGAGAGAAAATGTTCACTTCTTTTTCAATATTTTTTTTTTTTGTGCGTGTGAAGAGAAAAGTGGAGCCATAAAAGTAAATAGTTAAATAAATTGTGGCTATTGGCCTCTAGTGACTTACAGTGTATAAGAGGAAGACAGAAACTTATTTAGATATTGCGAACACAATGTTGTCAATACTAGAATAAGAATAACCAGAGAGTCTTGGATATACAGGAGGGGGCTACTCAGTCATCCTGATGGGGAAGCACTGGTGGTCAGAGAACCTTCTGGAAAACATTGTTTCTGATATCATTTTCCTTCCCCACGTACACCTACCACAAACCACACTAAAGTGAAAGCAAAGCTTAAAGGAAATTGCTAAATTAAGTAAGAATTGATGATTCTTTCTTAGATATTTCCAAGCAGAGCTGATTTTTACATACTGCATATGTGTGGCCAGCGGTAAATTAGGGATAGTTAACGCTGACCTGCAGTAGAATTTAAATTGGAGAGCAATAGGACCTACCCTGGTGGTGCAGCAGTTGAGCGCTGGGCTGCGAAGCTGCGCGCAGCCTCTGCAGCACCAGTTTGATCCCTGGCTGCTGGCGAGGGTCCCACATGGTGCTCAGACCTCTCCTGCCACACCCGCTGCTCCCCTCAGTAGCGTATTTCGTCAGTCTGCCTGTTCTGCTCCCCGCTCTGGCTCTGGTGAATTCTCTCACCCTCCCACACTTCTAACTATACCCAGTGCTTGTATAAATAAATAAATAAATCTTTAAAAAAATAAATTGGAGAGCAATATAGTTTATATATAGAAAAGACAATTTTTATTAATTCATCATTATTGTAGTAATGTTGTTGCTTTATTGCAGAAGAATATATTAGAAAGTTGGCAGGGACTCAGAATAAACTATCCTCAGGCATTACTGTTCATTATTACAGTAACCTGCCTTTAAGCAGTTCTGAGCATTTATAAGTCCCCCTATAGATTGTGGGGGCAAGAGGACCATGTATGGATTAGGTTAGAGAATAATCAGTTATGAGTCATAACTTTATCTATTAATGAAAACAAGGCTGTTGTTTGAGCTCTGTAGGGAATTGTGATTCAGCAACAATATGGGGCAAACTCAATAAGTATTTTCATGTGGGAAGGGAAATGCAAAGCTAATGTATGCAGAACTGCCTCTTAGAGGCAAATTGATTCAATTCTTTAAAAGGAGAAAGAAAAACATGCAAAAGGGAGGGCTAGCTGCATGCTAGTACAGGTAAAAGATTGTCCTATTTGAAGCTGAGATTAGATAGTGTTTGTCAGTCTTTGAGAAAGCGTGGTGCCGTCTTTGTCAACCTCCCAATTCCAGGTGTCAGGATGCTGGTTTGTGGAGGGTGATATATAAGGTCATGAATTTGAGTTGCCAGCAGTTAGGCATAGTAGATGTGCATAAGTTCTACTCTCCGAATGGCCTTTGATTCTATTTTGGACTTTCTCTTCATCATTTTTAATTTTATTATTTCACAGTCACCTTCACATTTGTCACTTGAATAACTTAGAACTAAACTGAGTCAGGGAGAATCTAAGTAGGGACAGTACTGGGTCACCAAATGTTAATTAAAACCTCAATGATTCTATGTGTATGATTGGAGTTACAATATTACTTACCACATAGTGTAACTGAGAACATTGAATGACATAATATCCAGTACATCTGCCAGAAGAGAAATGAATGACTTTTATTTGGAAGGAATTTATATTATCTGGAGACTCAAAACTTTCAAAATAATAGGAGACATTGTCTCTTAAATAAAAGAATCTTAAATAAAGATGCTGCGAACTAGCAATATGTACTTGTTAGCAAAATAAATGTGTATTTTTGTAAGAAAAGCAATTAAATTCATTTGACATCATTAATTTTCAGCTGATTTAATTGTTATAAATTCAGGTAAAGCATGTCATTTTACTATATCCTGAAGCTTTTATACATATTTCTGTTCCTTTTTTGGAATATGAATTTCAGAGAGGCTCTTCTAGTTCCAAACTACCAGGAATATTGGATGCATTAACATTCCTTTAAGTTCATCTTATATTTAAATAAGATAGTGAAAAATCTCTTGATTCCAAGTGCAAAATGAGCTATAGTTATAAGCTAACTCTGAAACATGGCTCTCTCAATATGTCAGTTGTTTCCCTAACAGCCTATATGAAGGAGTAAGAGTGGAACAGGTTGGGGCTCGGTGTGGACTAGCAGTGGGTACATGTCAGGAAGGCTTCAAGGAGACTAAGAATAAGAGGTAAAAAGTAGATGAGGATTTGAAGGACAGTAAGGAAAGTGATGGCTAGATTAAAGTCACCCCTGCTGTATCACAATGGAGAGTTTACAACACAACCACCTATCATAATATGGAAGGTTGGAGACAGATATAATGGTTTGATGACATAAAGTAAGATTTGCAGTCACGATGTGGAAAGGGTCAGTCAGTCCTACTGCTCTCTTGTAGCTGTACTAAAGAATAAGCTACTCAGTTTTCAAGTTGAATTTTGAGGAAATGCAAGGTATTTGGAGCAGTCTTTCTAGTCATCAAAAGATTAACAAGTCAAGTAGTCATCTCAGGTTAAGGATAAATCCAGGGCAGTGGAGTATGATGTAAGGGAATAGATGTAAAGCTGTAACAAACTTTGACAAGAACTGAGGCTCTATTTGCCTCATACTATGTCTTCCAAAAATCTGGTGGGATTTTTGACAGTCTTATCAAGGCAAATCAAGGTGAGTGGCAGAAGAAAGGATGATTCAGAAGGCATAATACAGAGTCTAGGTATTAGAGTCAAAATACGCAAAGGATCAGTCCCAGGGAGAAGGACTGGTTCTGATGAACTGGCTAGATGCATTTCAGAATTTCTAGTGTATTAACTGTGATGTCTGCTGTTTCTTTCCTTTTTGAAAAGGGATCTTTATTACTTATATCTTTTGCCATACCTTTCTTACCATTTTATGTATTCTGTGTTGTATGTGTGTATGGAAGGAGGCATTTAACATTATTTAAATTCACAGATAGAATCTTCTGCAGGGGGAAGTCATCCACATCTGGACCTAGTTTAGATAACGAAATACTGAACGCTAGCCAGTGTTGAAATGCGATGAGACTTTTGAGGCTCTTGAGAAGAACTGAATATATTTTGCATATAGGAAATAACTTGTGGACTGGGAGACAACTTTTACAATGACAAAAATATTTCAGCACTCATCGCAATGAGTGGCAAGGACTGTTTCCCCACCCTTTGAAATCTAGACTAGTATATGACTATTTTGAATAGTAGCATTTTGAATGTTATTTTAAATTTGAACCGGTTCTTTAAAAGAACATATAACTCCTGTCTTGATCCCCAGGGAAGTCTCGAGCCTTCAGATAACAATTCTGGCTATCCTGCTATAGAAAATCCAAGAAGAATCTCTCAAACTACAAAGAAAAGAAAAGGTGACTAAAGATGACTGTCTCTGGCCTTCCAACCTCCCTGGTAAGTCTCCAGCATATACATGTAGCCATCAGCTTAATACCACTGTGTGATCCAGTCAAAGTGTGGCACAACAGAAGAAATGTCCAACTAAGCCCTGCTTGATTTTCTTTTCTTTTTTTTTTTAAAGTTTTTTTTTTAAGATTTATTTATACAAGAACTGGGGTACAGGTCAGAGGCGCGGGAGGTTGAGAGAATTCACCAGAGACAGAGTGGGGAACAGAACAGGCAAACAGACCAAAGGCACTGCTCAGGGGAGCAGTGGGAGAGGCAGGGGAGGTCTGCCGTGCCACTTGGGTATCTCCCTGGCCGGCTGGGAATCGAACCCATGCTGCAGAGGCTGTGGACCACTTCACAGTGCTGTGCTCAACCTGCTGTGCCACCGGGGAGGCCCCTGGTTGATTTTCTGACCCAGAAAACAATATAATGTGCAATAGTTGTTAAACCACTAAATTTTGGAATAGATTTTTACATGGCAATAGATAACTGGATAGATACACAGGGAGATTTAATCAATAGATTGATAGAAAGATACAGATAAACTAATTAAGTGTTCAGTTTGCTTATCTCAAAAAAAAAATGTTTGAACTGCATTATCTCTGTGCTAAAACACTCTAATTCCTAAGGCTAAAGATTTATTCCAATTTATTCCATCCACTTTTGAAGCATCTTTATTATGTGCTTTGCTAAATCTCCAGGTCAAAGTAATAGAGTACAGAATAGATAACTAAATCCTTGCTAGGCATTAACTTGGGTAAAGATATTTGAAGAACTTCCTCTCAGTTTGAAGCAGCTCAACTGTGACTCTATTCATGGTTTTAGAAATACTGTTTCATCATGTCATGGTCTGTCTTTTAACACTGTGGTTTCAGTCCCCTGACACTTTAAAAATAATCACAGTCAAACAGAAACTAAGCTGCTGGAGTATGTGTTAATTGTTCCAGACTAGCGAGTGCAGATGACAGGAGCTGAGGTTCTCTTGAGATCAGGAAAAAATCATGAAGGGTCAGTTTCAAAATGAGTGTTATTAGTTAGGTTGCAAGCTAGCTCTTTTTTTAGAAAATATGTTTAGCATTGTTTGAAGATTATTAACTAAATAGGCTCAAGGTGCTTGTCATAAGAGTAAATTGCTTGATAGGAAGTCTTTTTTTGTGCGTGTGTATTATTTCTCCTAGTTTTATTTTTTTCTGGGAGCTTTTTTAGTAAAAACTGCCTTTTAGATTCACATAGATACCCATTAAATAGAGGACAAAAATTAAGCATACCAATTCTGTGATGGTCTATATAGATGCACTGATTTGTATCAAAGATTTATTTGGTGATTCAGAACAGTGATAATTGGTGTATATAATTTTTCATAAAATTCTGTGCCAGTGTTTTAAGATACAGAAAACATGTAACTTAAGCTTTGTATTTTTATTAATTATAACTTTTTCCATTTCCATAAATGATGAGCAAATACACAGATGGTATCGAAAATTCTGAACAATCTACACAAAGATGGTATCAAAAAAGTTGCAAAGAAATGAAAACGTCAGATTTGAGCATCTGAACTTCCTTTTTATTGTAAAGTTATATTAATTGAAGTAATGTTGATTTATATCATAATATATATGCCTTAGGCATACGTATATGTACATAAGTAATGTACATTATTTCACCACATCTATCACCAAAGTCCCAGTAATACTCTTTTGGGCCTCCCTCTCTCCTTTGTTCCAACCCTAATAAATTCCCCTTCTGGAAGTCTCATCACAGTTCTGTAAGAGCTTCTGAATTTCTGACCTATGACAGCAAACATTTGCTGGGTTACAATCATACATGAAAGACTGAAAAATGCTCAGTTCCTTTTCTGATAACTGAAATGATGGGTTACTAACTAGAAAAGATTGAAATTGAATGCTGATAGTTCAGAATTTAGCATGTGTATTTGAGTACAGTTTTTCCTTTCATTCAAAATGGAGTAAAATAAAACAACTTTCATTTTCTGAGTTTATTTCCCCTTAATATAAATATATAAAGAGCTTATTTAAGCTCTTTCTGAACCACAAAGAAGCATCTATTGATCATTTCTTTTTTGGTGATATTCATGAATTATTTTCAGCCATGATTTACAATTTCAGTCAGAAATGCAATATTATATTTTAAAAAATACTAATTTGATTGCATAGAACATTTTAACATATTTTCAATTCTAATTTGTGTAAATAAATGTATTAGCTGAATATATGAATAAGTTGAATTGTCACTGATTAATATCTCACTAGCAACCACTTCAGACAGTAAGTAGGAAGAGTGAAAATTATATTGACATGTAAGAAAAGATTCCATCATCATAGAACTTGAAATAAATAGCTGCTTATAAGTTTATATGTATTTTGTTTTATTGCTTGTGAATTCTGTAAGTATGAATATCCTCTGATTTTGAAAGAATAGGTTTGTGAGTTTTTACAATTATCTTCTTTATTTAAAAAACAAAAGAGGAAGCTGGCAAGAGGAGGTAAAGATGGAAGGAAAAAATACACCAAATTTCACTTATAATTTTTTCATAACAGCCACTCACAAATACACTTTTCTCCCTTATAATCCATAATAAAATTTGAATTTAATATAAACTCAACAGTAACAACTGTTCAAACATGGCATAAAATCCTGGCTTTAGAAAGTAAGGAATATGAACCTATAAGAAAAGACAGCTGTATCTAATATCTCGGATCATAGATAGGTGTTCCTAAAACAAATTAGGATAGTGGACCAGTCCCACACACACAAATACTGAAATATGCTTTACTTACAGATTATTGGGACTTTGTTGGCAGGTCTAGTGTGATAACATACATTTATAGAGTGTCATAAGCCAATAAAAAAAGCTTTAAAGTGTGGGGAAAAAACCCCAAATCTTTATAGGCTGCTACTGATCAATTCACCATACGAGAGCACTGTAAGGCAAACAAGTAACCAGAAGCAGGTTTCATAGCAAGGGGCAGTCCAATAGAAAGGTAAGTGCAATAAAATACAACAATACAAAAAATGAATTTAAAAGGTTTTAGTTAGAGACATATAAAGTCTCATAGGAACTCCTGGAAGGAGAATATTGCTTCCTTTGCAGTGGATCCTATGAACCTTTTAAAAAATCTGCCTGAGTTTTTGCTGGTTCTGTGGCTGGTTAGGGAGCAAAGACTGCTGGAGACCTTTGAAACTGTTGGGGTAAAGACTGCATGTAGTGGGCTATAGGGGACACTGCAGCAGGGGTTCTGCATTCCAGACAGAGTGTGGCACTTGATGGTCACTCAGAGGTGCTGCTCTTCCCCAGGCTGCTAGTGCTGTTCCTCTCCTGGTCGGAAGTATCAGTAGTTCCATTGGGAATGCTGGTTCCTGAAGTTCAAATGAGTTTGTGTAATGTGACTTGGGGTGGGGAGGGGTAATTACACTGCATTTTCTAATTTTTTTCAAAATCCATTCAAGGAGGTACAAATTTGGACACAATAGAATTCAGAAATTTGTCTGAGTCTATTTACGTGTAGCCACGTAAATAATCATGTATTTGTGTGTATGTCAGTAGTTTGTTATTTTTTGATTGATTTGATTCTGTTTTGATTGACCTTATTGCATGGATATATCACATGTTTATCCACTCACCAGGTGATAGACTGGAATTATTTTCAGTTTTTTCCTATTATGAATAAAGCTGTATGACCTTTTAAATACAATGTTTCTCCTAGGGCTGGAATAGGTGGATTGTATGTCAAGTGCATGCTTTACTTTATAAGAGAGTGCCAAAATGCTTTCCACATGTGATGCCAGTTTGCATTCCTGCCAGCAATGTCTGAGAGTTATAATTGCTGCACATTGTTGCCAAAACTTGATATTTTCATTCTTTTAAATTTTAACCATTCTAAGTTGTTTGCAGTGGTATCTCAGTAGCTGTTTTGATTTTTACTTCTCTAATAACTAAAGATGTGCAACATATTTTCATGTTTTTTTTCCCACTTGTATATATTTCTTGATCAAGTGTCTTCACATATTTAATAGTTTTTAAAATAGTTTTTGATTTTATGTTTAAGTCTATGAACATTTAGAGTTATTCTTGACCTATGTAGTGAGTTAATGGGCTGGATTTTTTCTGTCTATGGTCATACATAGAAAGAATAAAAAGACTATACTTTATCCATTAAATTTCCTTTTTACCTTTGTTAAAAACCAATTTGCCATGAATGTGTTTATTTCTGGATTCCTAATTTTGTTCCATTGATATATGTGTCCATTTTTGATAGAACCACACTTGATTATAATAGCTGTATAATAATTTTGAAATTGGAAACTGGAAGTCCTGCAGTTTTGTTTCAATATTGTTTTGATTATATTTCCATATACATTGTAGAGTCAGCTTCTCAACTTTTGAAAAAAATCTGATGTGATTCTGAAAGAGATTGCAATATATCTATATATCGATGTGAGGAAAATTGACATTTTAATTTTTCCTTCCAATGGGGTGATATATTGAATCTCTCTGTTTTGTTCTTTTTAAATGTCTTTCAACATTATTTTTATAATTTTTAGCATGCAGGCTTTGTATATATTTTGTTAAGATTGTCCATGTTATATATTTTGATGTTAATAGGTAGTATTTTTTATTTCCAATTCTCAATTTTATAGTAGTAGATATAAAATATTTTTTGCCTACTGACCATAAGTATTTGACTTCTTTTCACTTGTTATAACTTCTCATAGCTTTTTCCATATTCCTTTAATTCATGCACAACAGTTTATATATGAATTAAGGCAGTTTTACTTTTTCCTTTTTACTATCATTGATTTTTTTCCCCATTATTTCCCTTCTTTCATTGGCTAGAACTTCTGTGATTACAATGAAAGCAAGTGGTGAAAGCCTGTATTCTTACCTTGCTCCTGAAATTACAGGTGAACATTCAAAATTTCAATGTTAAATGTAAGGCTACCACTGGTTTTTATAGAAGTTTTTGATTAGGCTGAGGAAA